TCCAGCCTGTGGTCCAATGTGCTGTGTCCAGGACGCCATAGTCACAAGGTAGGAGACCCCTTCCTGGTAAAAGTTCTGCAGGCAGTTTCTTACAAGTAGGCTGTGTGTCAGTTACGGTGCTTTGGGCAGAAAATATGACTCAGGTAGCTTACAAAATCAGGAGAGAACAATCTGATATACAGTGGTACTTTGGTTCACGAACTTAATTTGTTCTACAAGTCTGGGGAAGATGGTTGTGGTTGTGTTTGTCAGTTGATGTGAAGTTTCCAAACAGAAGCAAAATTTTGCTCAATGCTTCTGTTTGGGAACCAAATTGCTCTTGAAAAGCATTCGAGAACCGAGGTATTACTATAATGTGAATTCCAGTGGTGTTGGTTCCTGGGTGGGTCACCTCTGGTTGCCAACCTATTTTTCCTTCTTAAAGAGCCTGAATTGTGTTCCCATATGAAGCCATATGGACAGGGAAGATTGTTCTAGCCTCAGAGCCAGGAGAGTAGATTTTGATGAGTTTCTTTCCATTCCTTCTGTCAATGAGGAGTTTAGGCAGGAGTGTATGACTAAATTCTGACCAATAAGACATGGGAAAACTTCTGGGGAATGTCTTCTTGCTCAAAAAACAATGTGTGTTAGCTTCCAACGGAGTGATCCCACCCTTCAGAAGTTCCCTGAGGAAATGAAAATGTACGTCTACACAAAGACCTGTTCGAGAATGTTTATAGCAGCTTTCTTCATAACAGCTCAGCCTGGAAACAGCCCAAATGTCCATTAACTGGTGAACGAATAAACAAATTATGGTATATCTATACAATGAAATAGCACTCAGCAATTAGACAGAACAAACTACTTATGTATGCGATGGCATGGGTGACTCTCAAATGAATTGTGCTTAATGAAAGAAGCCAGACACAAAAGTCTACCCTAATGTATGATTGCATTTTTATGCCTCTTGCAAAGGCGAAATTTCAGGGACAGAAATCAGATTAGTGGTTGCCAGGTGCTGGGGTTGAGGGAAGGGACTAATTATAGATGGGTATGGAAGGAGATGGACTAGAAGAGGACAGGAAGCAGCTTTTCACATTATGGAAATGTTCTATATCTTGATTGTTACACAACTGTATATGCTTGCCAAACCCATCAAACTGTAATTTAAAAATGGGGAATTTTACTGTATCCAAGTTACCTATCCATAAACCTGACTTAAAAAAAAAAATGCCACGTGTGAGAGGAAGCAGGTCCGTTTCCTGCTCTGGACAAGGCCTTCAACGTCTGAAGTCTACACTTGCAGGAACCACACTTGCAGTAACATCTTGAGACCATGAGGGGGAGCCCAGCTGGAAGGTCACACCGGGACTATAGATGTGCAGGAAATGCATAGCAGCCCAATCTGCTTCCCTTATTCCTCTGAAATAGGCACACCATAGCTGCGTGAACATTTTCCCACTATGGAAATGGGAGGGCTGCAGTTGTTGGCTAGTAATGCTCTGGAAACCCAACGAGTTTGAGTACAGATGTCCTGATCTCTCCAGAATAGCCTGGGCACTTGATATTGCATGTGGTGGCCCAGTTTGTCTTCTGATGGAGAGGGTTTTAGGCAGATGTCTGAGTGGAGAGGACCATGAGTTAGTACAGTGGACTCTGAAGTTACAACCAGCCTGACATACAAACAACTTGGGTTATGACCAGAATTTTAGTTTTAACTTACAAACAAAGTCTTCAGTTACGACCCGAATGCTGGCTGCTATTGCTTCCAGATGGTCTTAGATACAGATTTAATCCTTAAAGAGTTCTGGAAGGAACATTACACCATCCTTTCCTGTGTGGGGTTAACTGAGAAATCCTGGGCCAGTGTCTCTAAGGACACTGAGATCCACCTGTGTACAGGAGAGAGATTGTGAAGGCTGTGTAGAGGAGCCTGAGCCTTCAATCAACCAACTTGAGTTACAACCAGCCCTCAGGAATGAATTGAGTTTGTAAGTCAAGGGTCCACCATATGTCCTAAAGAGGAAAGTCACTGCTTTTGGAGAAGAAGGGAATCCCAGGTGAAGGTGTAGACACAGTTTCAGAGACTTGGTTAAAAAGGTGAGCTGTGGCATTCAGACCACACATACTCATCACCACTCATCCAACCATATCTGATGACTAGGAAAATTTTTTTACAGACCAACATTTTGCTCCTTACATTTGAAGCCTTGTTTCTCCCTGTTACCCACATACTTGGGGTGCCAGGTTCAGTAGAACCCATTCAAATCACAATATGAACTTTGGCACTGTACTCTGTCTTGGTGCTGGAATAAGGAGGGAGAGGATTCTGCACTAGGATGGCTAGTAATAATAACTTGATATCCATGGGAAATAACTGTGTGTCACATACTTATATTCTGTAGAATAGAAATTAAGGTATCCCCAATTTAATTTCTTTTTTTTTTTGGTACCAGGGATCGAACTTGGGACCTTGTGCTTGCGAGTCAGGTGGCAGAACCACTGAGCTAAATCCTCGGCCCTCCAATTTAATTTCTACTTAGCCAGATTCCCCAAATGCCCATAGCCTTTCCAAAGCCGCCAAACTCTAGAGGAAGCCTGAATAGAAAGATAAAATATGCTAAAGCCAATTACAGTTAAAATATTAGAAAATTTCATGAAATGTGTCACTATAGGTATTAGTCACTTTCCTCATTGCTGAGACACAATAGCTGACATCCACAGTTTACAGGAGAGGTTTGTTTTGGGTTATTATGGTTATTTGGTTTGTGGTTTCTGAGGGTTCAGTACATGGTCAGCTGGCTCCAAGGCAGAAAGGGCATGGTGGAAGGGTGTGGTGGAGAAAATCTACTTGACCCATGGCAGCCAGGAAGAAGAGAGAAGGGAGGAGTCAGGGGGAAGAATACACTTTTCCAGGTCATGCCCTCAGAGATCCACCTCCAACCAGGCTCCATCTTCTAACAGCAAAGTCAGCTACTGAACCCATCCACGGATAAATCCACTGATACTTATAGAGCCCCCATGGTGGAAGGACCCTCCAAACATGTGAGACTTTGGGGAGTATTTTAGATTTAAATCATAACATGATGTAAACTCTTTGTTTAGGTTCTTTCCATGGTCTTGGAAGATATCTATTCCAGAGAGGGACCTCTGAGATTTTATGAACTTCAGAGTAATCCATTTCTGATTTAATGAAGTGCAAAATTGTCACATGAACACTACCTGCCTGATGGTAGTGTTGCTTACCACATGCTGCCTACACATTAGGGTCTCAAAGATTTTTGAGGGATTAAGAATGGACCTTCCCATTGTAATTTAAGCTTGTTTTATGAAGAAGCATATAATTTATCATTTGGAGATATTTATGTTTTTTCCTATACCTTGCCTTTTCTCCCCTAGGTTATAAGTTGGGAATTAGAGGTTAGACCATCTCATTTCTTATGATTATGTCAGTGGATAGCTGAAGAAATTTGGCCACATTTATTCTTTCATCATAAATATAAATGCAGGCTAATCAGCCCCAGTAGGAAGGGGCGGAGTAAAAGGGGCTGAGTGTAATAAGGAGCAAAAGAGGCCTCTTTATGAAATCAGAGCTGAGGTGAGTCTCCCCCACAACCCTGTTCCCCAAGGAACCAAACAGGAATAGTAATGCAGAATGACAGAGTGTTGAACACCATCCGCCCCTGGGTGAGATCATCCGTCAGCTGCTGGAAGGGAGCGAGGTGAAACCCGCTTCATTTACTTTCAGACAGTTCTGACAAATACAGGCCACATGGCTCAGTTAGCAGTAGAAAGCAATGAGGTGAAAGGTGCAGCTGCTGAGCTGTGCTGGACCACGTCCTCTGGGTGCGCCTTGTCCCTACCATATCAGAGCCACCATTCCTAAACCCTTCCCCTGGAAGCCCTGCCCATGTCCTGAGCCCATAGGCAGCCTTGCCCACAGCTGCCCAGTGATCCTGGATGAAGTCCAGATTTAGGCTTGGGGACAGAGCTCTCTCCCTCCAGGCTGTCTTCCTCTCCAGCCCCAGCAGCAGTTTGCGCCTTTGCACATGGTGCTGTAATTTTCCACAGGGGGCACACTGCATCACTCCTTAGTACCTTACTGCCATTGTCCCTCCCCTCTGCAGAATGCCCAAACCTTTGTCTGCTCCCCTAAATGATGTCAGACTTAGCTTTGAAGTCTTCCTCCTGGCATCTTTGCTGCCTGGCTCCAGAAGTTCTTGCTGTCTGCTGTGTCTTTAGTTATCTTAGCTGCTCCTAATGTGCATTTGCTACATTGTATGGAAGAAAACAAATAGAATGGACGAAACTCATCAGATGTGTTAAGCATAGAGAACAAGCAGCCTGTTAGACAAATAAGTAGAGCATTGTGGACACAGGCAAAGATGGAAGGACCAAGTAGTTAACTAAGTATTCACAATACACTAAATATAGATGAGGTGCTGAATATCTGTAAGCGGTCTTAATTCGAATACCCATTGGCACCTCTATGAGCCCTCTACCCAAGAAATGGAGATATCGCCCATGGCTGCTCAGTAGGCTGATTGTCAAGCTATGGCTGTGGTCAAGAGGACTTGCCCCTAGGGATAGGGCAAGTACATGTGGTTGACTGTGGTCGCCTTGGATTGTTGGGCTCTCTTGTTCCTACCTCTCTCATAACCGCACCATCAATGGGAGAAGGTAGAACCTATAATTTAGGTTGTGTGGTTCTTCTCCCTATTCTCATTGGATCCTAAGTGTGATAACTTACACCATATATCTTCCCCTTGCTTCTCACTGTGTGTTTGACTTAAGGATCCATGTGATTGGAGCATATTAATGTGGTCAAAGACCTGTGTTCCACAGACTGTGGGAGAGCTGCCAGGTAGTGTGCTCGGTGGCTCCCATTGTACCAAGGTACTTTCTCACCTAACACTGCTCAGGAAGTATCTGGTTAATGATATTAACATGAGTGAACACGTGTGGGATTCAGGATTGTCTTTCAGAGTTCACAGATTCTTTCATACTTCTACCCATCCTAGGCAAAGAGCCATGAAGACCTGTTGTTGCTGCCCTTTGAGCCCTGAGATGATCTCCTCCCTTCCTGGATAGGTTGGGGAGCCCCACATGAGACTGGAAACAGGGTAAGCAAATGAGGGAGAGCAGAGGTCCTTGTGAAAAATGAGGATAGGAGATTGAGGACAGTGGAGATGAGGACAGTAGAGGTGGTATTTCCCCAGAAAGTGATGGTGATGGCAAGAGGGTGAGAATGATCTCTAAATACTCAGAAGCAAGTCGAGTGATGCAGGGAGGATACGGAGAAGAGTGAGATTCAGAAAGAGGAATGTAAATGTGGTGAGCAGGAGAGGGGTAAGAGCGGGTGAAGTTGAGGTGGAGCACAGCGGGCCTGGCAGGAGGATGGAAGTGGTGGAGGATGGTAGTGAATTCTCAGTTGGTCCAAACTCATGAGCACTTTGGAAGCTTAGGGTTCCTTGTCTGATGAATTTTTATGTGCAGACAGTTTGCACTTTATTGGTGTTTTGCTTCTGTTTGTGGCAAGTTAACTCCCTCTTAGTGACGGTTTAATTCCCCAGGTATACTTCCCCCTGCTTTGAAACCATAGATGACTCTTAAATTGTTTGATATGGATTTTAAATAATACAGAGCACCTCAGTCTCCTTTTTGAAACCAGCTCCTTGAAGTATAAATAAGCAAATAAATACTCAAACAATTACATGAAATTTCCTCCTATTGATGGTCTGTGACCATTCTGAAAAATAACATCTGCCCGTTCTTGGGCTCCAAGAGATTTTATGAGCATTAATGACATGTCTGAAAAGCGTTTCATTTCCTTGGAAATGAGCTTAACAATGTGTTTTTCTCTCCACAATGATATAACAAGCCACTCATGCTGTGCTACTGATTTATAATAATTGAAACTTTGGTTGCTAAAAATTTTAAGTAGTTTGACAGCAGCCTAAAACAAAATCTTTAATATTTATATCTCATCAATGTTTTAGATGATAGATAGGTAAATGGGCTTTCTGTGGCATTTTAGAAAGCATTCTGTGATATTGATTCTCCCATCATATTTTAACCAGTCCTTACATCAGTTCAGGAGGTCATGGACTGGGCCTGGTTTTCATTTCACAAACATCTGGATCTATAGTAAGTGATTCATGCAGTCCGATACGTAACTGCCCTCTTTGTGCTCTCTATTATGATCACTTGTGGAATTTGATTTGCCTCATGCCTGGTGAGCCATTCTTTCAGTTGGAATAATTTCCTCAGTTATACAAGTCTGCAGCGTATGCAATAATCCGAAACATGCTATCTAGAAGGGTTTTCTCATTTTCAATTGGCAAATTTCATGTCATCCTTGGCAAAGAACACAACAAAGGGCTGAGACAATGTCAAACATGGCAATAACAATATCCCAGAGCAGAAAGTTGCAGACAAAATAGAATGGAGGAAATGAACTCAGAATCTTTAGATGTACTCTTTCCCGCCTTTCTTTTTGTCTTAGCGCTCAAACTCATCTGAGAAGTTATGTGCTTAGTGACAGATTTATCTTCCTCTGAGTTCCTTGGTGTGAAGACTTCATGAGAGCAGGGACTATGTCATCAGCGCCTATAACTGAGCCTTGCACATAGTAGACACTCAGTAAATGTTTGTTGGATTAATGAATGAAAGGCCTATTCATCAGCCAGTCAGATAATAAAAATGGTACATAAGAAGAGTTTCTGTTTATTGAACGCCCCTGTACCAGATTGAATAATGTCTCTTCAAAACTCATGGCCAACCAGAACCTCAGAATATGACCTTACTTAGAAATAGGATCTATGCAGACCTGGTTAGATTAAGATGAAGTCATATAGGACTGGGTGTTCTCTAAACCCAGCATGGCTGGTGTCTTTGTAAAAGTAGGAGAGGACACAGGGAGAGACACACACAGAGAAGAAGGTGTGTGACAATATAGGGAGAGATTGGAGTTATGCAGCTGCAAGCCCATCAATGCCGGGGTTGTTAGCAGCCACCAGAAGCCACGAGAGAGTCATGGATGGCATCTCCCCCAGAGACTCCAGCAAGAACCAACTCTGTACACACCTTGATTTTGGATGACTGGCCTCTAGAACTGGTTATTTTTAGCCTCCGAAGTTGTAGTATTTTGTTATGACTGCCCCAGGAAACTAATAGAACCCTCTTTGTGACAGGTCCTGGGAAAGTGCCCATTTAGAGATCTGGAACCTGGGCTGATTAAGCTAAATGTCTTGTTAGGGGGCGCCTGGGCCCACCTCTGGTCTCTGCACTTTCCAAGGCTTCACATTTTTGCCTATTGTGTGGGCAGCATGGTTGCCAGGAATGGAAGGGATTTGCAAAGTTAAAGTTAGTGTCCCTACCTGGGCTCATTTCATGACTGCTTTTACTAACTTAGGATTAGTGAGGGGTGTGTACCATCTTCGTTAGCAAATGTACGTGCCAAGTGAAGTAAATGTCAATGCAAGTTGGCCAGAAACCAGGGAATTCCCTGTATCCAGGATGTCTTCTAAATCTACAATTCCATTATCAATTGTGCTCTCCCCTAAGATGGCCAGAGCTTAGCAAACTGGTATGATCTCATGAATATGAATTCACCCAGTCATACTCTGTGACTCTGCAGTTTTATACCTAGGCATTTATACTAAAGCAAAATGCATCCGTATGTTTGCCAAAAGACATACAAGGAAATTTATGGCTGCACTGTTTGTAATGGCTTCAAGATGGAAGCTGCACAAATGGCCACTAACAATAGAATGAAAAATAAATTGTAGTTTAGCTGTCCAAAATCAGATTATGCCACAATAAGAATAAATGAATCAATGTAACGTATAGTGACATTTCACAAGGTATTATTGAGAGAGAGAAGCCAGCTAGAAAAGTGTGTATATATATATATATATATATATATATATATAGGATAATTCCAATTATATACATTTCAAAAGCAGGCAAAAATAAACTGTAGTTTTAGAAGTGAAGATGGGGGTTTATCTTTGAGTGGTGAGTAAATTTTGGTCTTTGTTTCTTATGGTTATATATGGGGTGTTTGTTTCTGGAAAACTATATTTTTATCATTTGTGTATCTATGCATAAATAATACTTGGCTAAAAATATTTTAGAAAGTAATATGAAGAAATTTGCAAATCCCCTCTGCCATCCTATTTCATCTCCTTCACTAGAATAATCGTTTAGCTGTGCCTGGGAAGAAGTGTTCTTGCTGAGCTATACTTTTTAGCCAGTCCATTGTTTCTAAACTGTTATTTCCTCTGTTCTTTGGCTATTGTCTGGTAGGAGAAAATGGCTTTTGAACACTCACATGCTCAGAAGGGATGAAGGACCATTTCCTAAAGTGGCAAACTGCAAGTGCCACCTTCATCTCAGAGCAAAATCCAACCACATTTTTAGTGAACATGGGAAGTCTTCTGGACTTAGAGCAATGTTTTTGGCACTGAGAATCAAACCCAGGGCCTTGTGCATGCTATGCAGAGGCTCTACCATTGAGCTACATCCACACCCCAAGGAAGTTACTGTAGAAAACTATTTCATCATTATACTTCTGGAAAAAAATTGTCAAGTGAATAAAATCTCAAGAGTATAAGCCTTATCCACCCCTCCCAACCAGTTCAGTCCCAATTTCAGCACTGAAAGGCCTGTGTCCTGACCCTCCACCTTGGTCTTGGGGAAGACAAGCTATTGATCACCCTAGTCCTGCTCCTGCTGGACAAGGCAGCCCTGGCTGTGGCCCAGGCTTAGCTTCTTCCTGTCTTGGCTCTTGAGATTTGGTTACACAGCTATGAACAGAAACCAATAGGAACAGGAGGATGAAAGTGCTTTGTGTTAGAGAAAGGACCACACCAGGGACACTGTCCTGGTGACATCATATTTTTCTGCAGTAGTGTACTATGTTCATGGATAGTACCTCTTCTCTGGCAAAACTGCCACAGCAACAGCAAACATAGCTAAGATTAATTGAGCTCTTTTCTTGAGGCAGGTGCTATTCTAACCCTTTTTTTCACGGATCATCTTACTTAATCTTTACAACAACCCAAATGAAGTATTGCCATTTTTGGACTTTATAGATGAGGGAACTGAGACATAGACATATGAAGTAGCCCAAGACCACACAGTTTGAAAAGGCAGAGTCTCCGGAGTTCCTTACTTGGATGTGTATTGGATTCCCTGCTACGTATTCACTGCCTGTGTTACCTGCGGCTGTCATTTTTCTATGCTAAGGTTGACCTACTCTGTGGATGCAAATGTCCTACTAAAAATTGCAATTGTATGAGTTTAATAAGTTAATGTATGTAAAAGTGCTTGGCTTGTAGTATTTGCTCAGTAAATATTACTTTCTTTTGCTGTCTTTCTTTCACTTGTCTTTGGTGAGATTTATCACCATTATACAGTGGCATGGTAGGAGCTATAAAATCACATAAAATCATTGTTCAGTCACTTTTCTTTTTTTTAAAGAGTAGGAAAATTTATTGAGAGAAAGATAGCGTTGTCTAAGAGAGACAGAAGAGGAACTGGAAAATGGGTTTCCCACCCACACTCCTTCTCAAAGTTCTTTTATACGGCAAAGCCTTGAAGTGAGGTGGGTACAAAGTGGGACAAAATTAAAAGACCCCATGGAAAATTACGAGGTGGGCATGAGGTGGGACAAAATCATGACCAACCAATAAGATTACAAGTACAGTCACTCAGGTAATATTGATTAAATTGGGATCAAATGAGAAAATGATTCACATACAAGGAATTTTTCATTTACAATATCAATCACTGGTATCTATCTCTAGTGGAAGCAGTACCTCTTTTCTTTTTTGCTAAGCAGTGAATGTGCCTCAATTGTTCTTCATGTTGGCTCCTCACTGTGTTGGCTCCTTGAGGACTGGTGCCTTGAGGGTGGCCCTATCTAACTACCTACAAAATATCTAATTAACTTACTCATCTACAATATCCCCCCTCTGAAGAAGTACCCCTAACTGCCATGAGGGGGCAGGGGTGAGTGAAGAGCCTTCTGGCTACTTCCAGCTGAAGAGGGTCATAGTTGTGATTGGCAGTCGGTTACTCTGCAGAGGATCTATCTAAAGGCCCTCAATAGGTGCCA